AACCCTAACCCTAACCCTAACCCTAACCCTAACCCTAACCCTAACCCTAACCCTAACCCTAACCCTAACCCTAACCCTAACCCTAACCCTAACCCCAACCCTAACCCCAGACGTTGCCAAAGTGCGCGCCAAGCTGGTTCGAATATGTGCGGTTGACGGTGCGCGTCGAGTGGTTCCGTTAGCGGGTCCGGAGGCGCACATCCTCCTCCGCTTCCTCGGCGTCGTTATGCGGGTCCGTTTCGAAGTAGAGGGGGGAAGTCGGCGAAATCTGTCTTCACGATAGCGACGGTCATCTGCCGCCAGGGCTGGAAATGCAAGAGCGGGAGCAGCGCGCGAACGCGCGCTGCGGTGAGGCGCTCAATCAGCGCATCGGCCGGCCACACGCGACCATCCTTCTCCCAGAGGAAGGGCGAGAATGTAGGGGCGGTGGCGGCGGTCGCCGGCAGAAAGGCTTCGCACAGAGGGAGCACATAGATAAGATAATCAAAGAGAAGGTCGCCGAGGACGTGCGGGAGGAAGCGGATATTCTCCTTGTATTGCCCTGTCTGCTGCTGGCCCCTGTGGTAGTGCACGTAGGGTCGGAAGGTCACCGCACGATCGCGCTTCGTGTTCTTCCACGTTATATAAAAGAACTCATCCGAGCGGACCGGGACGCCCCCGAAGCGGAAGCAGGAGCGCGCAGAGGTAACTCGGTGACATGAGTTCAACACGAGCAAGCATAAGGTCTACTCGTCCTACCTATATATGCTATCTGAGTACAAACGGAACGTACGCATGTGCGCGCGTGTTAGCGATGTGCGCCGTGTGCGACGTCGCCATCGTCGCGCATGAGTACCCGGTCGCGTATTTCCCTGCGTTACGGTTTCCTTATAGTTGTGGCCGCATGATGTCGTCCACCGATGGGTGGTCGTTATCGTCTCTTCTGTTCCCCTTCCTTGCTGCGCCGTCTCAAGGGATCGTAACACAACGCCTTTTGCCGGCCATTTGTCTTACTCTAGCGTTATCACCTACCGAACCAACATTCGTCGCAAATTTAATGATCTGGGCAAGCGTTCTATAACTAGCCGATTGCGCAGATAAAGTTCATTTATTTACCAAGTGCAGGCCTAGATGCTAACAGATTGCACATCCACGGCTCGCCTGCTCGCCTGGCATCTACTGGACGCCCGACCTCAGCATGGTTCATTCCCGATATCTTACAGAACTCATGGCCGCTACACTGTGCGGTTGCATTTAAAATGTCCAGACTTACGTCAGAGTGACAAGCAAGCCAACAGCTGTAGCAAAAGTCCTTGTCGTCACAGCTTTTGCAGGCGCAATAGGTTTCCTCTGCCGGCATGGTACGGTCGCAGCCATTACAAAAAACGGTGCTTAGCGTCGCTCTGTCATGTTGCAACGCATGTATCGCATTGGATTCGTCCCCAATGCCAAGCAGAATTCTCCCTATAGAGTACAAACATAGTTCAGGCCATTTGCTAAGGAAATCTCGCAGGCCAAGAACTTTGTCCCAGATAGCCGCAGGCTGGCAGTGTGAGGATGCGAAGGATGAGAGCAGGCATGAACGTTGCCCGGAACGAATAGTGACACTCTCATACGCTCGTTCTCGGTAGAGACAGAGCAGAGAACGTAAAGAGGCATTCAATGGTCTGGACCATGTACCACCTGACTCCGATCTCGTCCTGATTACACGCAGCCATAGCTTTTCCGCCTCCGCCATCTTGTCTTGATCTGAGTACAGAATACCGAGATTATTGACCGTGCCGAGCGTCGACGTGTGCCCCGTGCCCCATGCCTTCTCGAACCCCCGCAGCGCCCGCAGATACATCTTTTCCGCCTCCGCCATCTTGCCTTGCTTTTTATACAGGCTGCCGACACTGTTGACCGTTTCCAGCGTCGACGTGTGATCCGCGCCCCATGCCTTCTCCTTCTCGCACAGCGCCCGCAGATACATCTCCTCCGCCTCCGCCGTCTTGTCTTGGTCCACGTACAGAACGCCGAGATTGTTGATCGTGTTGAGCGTCGACATGTGCCCCACGCCCCATGCCTTCTCGTATCCGCGCAGAGCACGATGATACAGGTCGTTGACCTCCTTCGACTTCTCCCAATCACTTAGAAAGCATGCGATTCGATGAAATTCTCTAGCTTGCCCCTCATCATTCGATAGCAACATTGCTACCCTCGCACCTATAGCTTTAGCATGTACCGCTAATCGCAGACCCCTCTCCCTTGTAACCCCTCTCCCCACCCGTTCTGCCGTTTTTGCGACAAGTCTTAGTGCGGTTGCTAAGAGTTGTTGTGTTGTAGATCTGTCCAACCGGTGCAGGCACCATGCATGTACTACTGGATGTATCGTAAGCGATTGATCCACTGTGCTTGTATTCACCATTGAGTACTGGACGAGAGTTCCAATCGAGTGCTGCAAGGAGAGCTTCGTCGCCGGCCCGAAGACTGCATCTTCGCTAGGATTGTGCGGTACCTTATCGCTCCGCTCAGCCAGTACCAGCTCCGCCCACACATCGCCATGATGGAGGAATGCCCACAGATCAAGCAGCTGGGCTGCTAGTGGATCTGTGCTTTTCACTTGTTCATACGACACCTTCCAGGTCGTGAGTACGCTCCGCTCCCCGTATTCTTGTAGTGAAAATTCATCTTGATTCTGCATAAGTTCGGCCCACGTCGCGTCGTAATGCTCGAGATAGTCCCGGACGCTCATGCCCGTCATACCCAGATACAGTCTGGTCCACAATCAATTCAATCAAGTTTGGAGCGGTGACTTGACTTAATTGAATGCCTCAACATGGCTGACTTGACTTGATTGACTTGACTGTAACGGCGACTTGACTTGATTGACTTGATTGAACCCTGGCAAAAAGAGAGAACCTTCATATCATGGAAGTCATTAGTCATCATCTGGATCAGAATACACACATTGTAATCATAAGGCTAGACTGGTTTTTTTGCAGTGTTGAGACCACTGAGCCACAAAACCGTGTTTTGACATGACAGAGCCTCAGAAGCATTACATGCTCTGATCAGAGAGGGGTTCACTCGGCCTCAGTGGCCAGGTTGATGGTGGAGGTGGACGACGTCGTGACGACGTCGTCTGCGCGACGCTGGAGGTTAGTGATGTCGTGGCGACTTCGTCCGTGTGACGCGGCCTTTCGTCGGTTTCAATCGACGGACGGAGATCGAGGTGATGATGCTCGGCGGGTTGGAGTCCTTTTAAGCTGCTTTATTTCGTCCTTGGTTACGCGGATAACGTCTTGCTGGAGCCAAGACTTCATGATCAGCAGTGACTCAAGGGTGCCATCAAGCATCAGCCGTCTTCTTGGCGACATAGTGTGGCCAGCACTGCCAAATAGTCGCTCTGGCTCGTCGGACATTGGTGGCACAGCAAAAATGTCTAGTGCCATCGATGACAGCTCCGGCCACGTCGTGCGTTTGCTCATCCAGTAAGCTACTGGCGATTGCTCGGCGTCAAGATCAGCAGGTGATGTCTCTGCTAAGTACGACGCCATCTGATCGACAGGCCTGTCGATCCGCATAGATGAAAAGTTGAAAAGGTCGGACTCTGGCTTCTTGTAAACGGCGACCGCGTTGTCCGCCTGAGGTTGTGCTTTCCTTCGGTACGATTGCCACAGCCGATCTACGCTCTTCTTGGCATCTTCGGTCCACTTGTGCCTATCATTCTCAACAGTCCAGTACTTCTCGCAGTAGACCTATTTGAAAAAAGGATGAAGGACTATGGCCGCGACGTAGACCGGCGTGTCATCGAGATGACCGTAGTATTCGTTGAGTTTCTGCCATCCGCGGTTCACTGCCGTAGCTAAATGGTTCCAGAACAAGTCTTTGTCGACGTCGTTACTGCCCTCGAGCTGCGACAACACGGCTTGAGAGTTAACCTCGGCGGTGCACTTATGCTTCTTTTCCTCGAGTATGCCGAGAAGGGTTTCGAATGTTGGCAGTACTAGCCAGATGGAGCCGAAGTTTCCACCAGCATGTCCTTGGAGCTTAGCCGTTGCGTTGTGTATAGGCTTTAGTATTTCACAGTACTCCTCAAGGTGAAACCAATCGTCTGGCGTCAGCGCGTCGCTAACAATTGACGGCGGCTGTTGATCCTTCTTCTTATGCCGGTTCCACTCACTAGTAGCTTTGAGCGTGAAACTGTCGATAGCTAAGCGGAGCTCTATAGCACGATCGATCATACTACTCACGCTGTTCCAGCGTGTAGCAACGTCCAAGATGAGGCTTTTGATCTGCTGCCGAGCAACGCCGGCGGCCGGCTCGATGCTGCGTTGCACGTCTTCAAACTCGGTAATCCTCTGCGGCGAGGCACAGATGTATCTGATTATGTTGTGAAGCTTGCCGACGGGTCCCTTTGAGCGCCATTCGACAAAAGCAGCGTCGTTGTCTTCATATTCGTCAAAGAACTCTTCCCTAGCCGTAACGTCCTCGCCAAACATTATTGCCGTAGCGAAAAGGTTGAAGATATGGCCAGCACAGCGAAGCCTAATGTGCTTCTTCTGGGCGCAGCACTCTGGTAAATGCTTCAGTAGATGGTCGATGCAAGTGTCATTGTTTGTCGCGTTATCACAAACGAAGTAGCCGACCTTATCCGCAATACCGAAGCTCCTAATCACGCTGACGAGGCTTTTAGCAATATTCGCGCCAGAGTGTTGACCCTGTTGACGTTGAAGAGCGATGCGGACACTGCGGACGGTCCCTCCAGCATCGGCAAAGTGAGCTACGACACCAAGCATCGCTTTGTTGTTAGGTGACGTCCACAAGTCGAAGCTAAAGCTAATCGCCGAGAGCGCACTTTTCAGAGCAGCCGTCACCTTTGCGAGACTCTGGTCGTGAAGCGCCTTGATGTTCCTTGATACCGTCTGATGAGACTGGAGACACGCTGCTGCCGTAGGAAGAGAGTACTCGATGAGCGAGCGAAATGGTTGGCTCTCGGCTTTGCGAAAAGCCATGTCGTCTAGGATTATCCACTCGTACAAAAGGGCCAAGAAGACGTCATGGTCGAAAGCGCTGCGTGTCGTGTTCTTTGATAAAAACCAAGTCTCGATCGGCGTTGATGGTAAGCTGCGCTCATCCTGACTATCCGTGTCCTCAGTCTGTCTCCTTTTTGATGAATTTTCAATGCCGTGCGACTTTTTAAGGTGATTAGCAGGTGAAGAAGTTGCTGCAGTTCTGAACGCCGTGATTCTCATCGGTTTGCTTTGATAACAAGGTCGGCATATCCAGTATACCTGCTTATCGCTGCCTTTAAGAAATCTTGAGCCATGGTCATAGATGAAGGACTTCTTTTCGCTAAGAAGGTCGACGTCGTACTCTTTCGAGAGGCATCGAAAATCGAAACCGTCGTGTTCCCATGAGGTCGTAGGAGGAGCGCTGCTCACGCTCGCGTTTGATGTAAAGCCGCTCGTACGCTGCAGCTCGGCAGGAATCGAAAGATTAGATGTAGAAGGTGCTTCCGACAAGTCGTCACTGATAATTGAGGCGATAGTGGCGAGGCGTAAGGTGATTTTGTCGCGTGTCTATACTGTAACTCAAAAAATTGTCGAGGTAGCTATGACGTGACGTTGAGATAGAGGCCTCTGATTGGATGGCTAATCTTCGGCAGCTGGATCTAAGGGTTGGGGTTGACTCCGGAGCCTTGTACGACTATCGCGACTGCGGCATTGCTCACGGCACTGCTATTTTACTACGGTTGTATTACTATAATAGTTATGCCAAGCTAACATGTCAATCAATCAATCAAGTCGTAAATAATGACTTGATTGATTACTAAGCAAAAGACCGGCCGACTTGATTGATTGACTAATCGCATTTGGATCAAGTTAAGTCAATCAATCAAGTTGGACTTGATTGTGGACCACACTGCCCAGATATGCCCCTGCTTGCACGAGCGCAAGCGGGAGACCACCTAGCTTATGAAGCAACTCCTGGATATCTGCTGGCGATATTAGCGATCGTGGATACTATGCGGCGCTACTACTCGTACATACTCATCACCGCTTTGTCTGCACGTATCTCGACCATCTTTCTTGCTAGCTGATTGTCAACGACATCCAAGTAAAGGCTAGCGTTCGGGCGTTGCAGTCGCCTAAGACGCGTCGTGATCAGAACGTTGCCGTGGTTTGCATGCGGGAGGAGGTCGCGATAGTTTCGTATGCCTGTGCATCGGTCGGGTTGCGCTGCCAATCGCGGTCGATGTTGTAGATTACAATTAGCCAGTTCAGGTTGCCGGAAAACGACAGCTATTGGCGCAGATCGTCGCCTAGTTGTGTGACATTCCCCTTTGCCGCCGTTTCATGTGCACCATTGGCGACCGCATGCCTGCGCTCGCTACCGATCGCTGTAGAGCGTCTTTGGACGATCCATCTAGCCGGAACACCGCGCTGAACCGTGCTGCCTTCGTCTTCACGAACTCGGCACACAGCTGCGTCTTGCCCATCCCGCCCATTCCGTACACTACGAACACCCGCTGCTGCTGTTATTGCGGTGCAGATGTAGTCGCAAAGAACTTGGTTAGATGCTGCATGTCGACCTCTCGAGGAACGAACTAGTCCGTCGCAGGAATACCTTGTAGGCCGAGGGGAATGGAGAACTCGCCGAGCACAGCGATATGATTGCGCTTCGCTGTCTTCCGCAGCAGTCGCTGCCTCGTCCTGTCCTTGCCTTCTCCGTATCGGATGTTCATGCTGCCCCCATAATACCAAGAAGGCAGTATGAGAGGTCCTCATCCATCATCGTCTCCCTGCCGTCCGCCTACCGCATCTTTTCTTCCGCAGTCAGACTGTCGCCTTCTCGATAATCGTGCAAAATCGCTCGCGGAATCGCAGTCACTTTCGAGATCGAGCCTTCAAGCGACGGACCGCTCTGTATCGAGATTCCGGTCCGCCCACAACCGCTGCACCCTTTGTGGCCGATCACCTTCCAGTCGCGTGAGAGAAAGACGACAATGCTAGGGGCCAGTAGCTCCTGCAACGTCCATCCGCGCCGAAACCAGGTACTCTGCTCGAAGATGGTCGTGTCATGCGCGACTGCAACATCCTCCAGATACGCCAAACACACCTCCGCGTTACGATACCACTGGAACATTGAATTGATCGCCGCCGACAGCTCTCGATCGCTGTGCTGCTTGATGCAGCATGTGTCGACCCACAGCCACTTCACGAGCGGCAACTCAGCTCGGAGATATGCCACGAATCCTTGCACCTTGCGATACCCAGCTGTGTCCGTCTTTTTCGTCTCATGCACATCCTCCCACATCGCCTCTACGCCCGCTGTCCAACGATGCGATGCGATCGCATAAGGCGGAGGGGTCGTCCCGAAGTACTCGGTAAAGCTAAATGTGTCGACGTTGAGGAGCCGCATGCTGTGTGTAGAGTCGCAACAATGCGCACCTGAGAGCGATTGCTGTGGGAGAAGCGGAGTCGCAACAAGACTCCGTCCTGTAGCTGCATGGTGGCGCAGCACCTACGCGAAGCCTTCGGGTATGGCTGGCGGTGATGACCTGACTTTCTAGGATCCCGGATTGATCGCGGGAGAGGTGACCAGGTGAAGGTCCTGCAAATGCGACATGATCGGAGAAGAGTGTAACAGCGCGATACGTTGTCAGAACGAGGCATTCTTCTCATTAACAGTATTCGATCACTCGTGTCGAATGAAGACTTTAAGCTAGCGCACAAATGAAGGCAAATGCTGGGTCCAGCGGGCGGAGCCGTTCCATTGCGTCGATCTGGAGTCCGTCAACGCCCACGAGGACGGTAGTTTCTGTATGGTGTGCCCGTTCATCGCGCGTTGACCTCCAGGGGTTGAACTCCAATCACGCCGCCCTTTGCCTCGGACGACGATTATGATGAGAGCGCACGAACCCGGGTCATGATGAAACGCGTGCATCCTCACGTAGGTCCTGCTCGTGCCCATACCTCTGGCCATTCCGAGGCCTCGGCCGCCCATGACGAGTTGCCCGTTCCGGCGACGTACCCCTCATATTACTACTGCTATTGCTGCTGCGGACCCTTTCTGTCGCTGTTGTCACTCGCTCCGGAGACGCGCGACGCACGTCGCCCGGGACTGCGGCCAGCTGCGGGATCCGCTCCGTGATCCGGCGTTGCAGCTGGTTCGCTATAGAACAGGGTGCTACTAGCATTACGTCGGAGCCTTCGCGCCGGGATCAGCCTTGTCGTGCGAATGCTACCATCGATTTCGTCCTCGCGCAAAATCGATACTCTTTCTTATATCGCAACACACGGCCGTACTTTTGATCTCTACGCAATGCTACAAATCTCGGCAGGTTTCTCAGAGTCTACGCTGTTGCTAAGCTCAATATCGCTCTATTCAGATCTAGATTGCGCGACCTTGACCCCTGCCACTATGAAAGTTGAAATCGTGTTCAGGCTTTGGAGCGCAATTCACACTGCCAAGTCAGAAACTTCCCTGGCAATGTCTGCCGTGGGACGAACTGCGCCACACGCATGTATGTCCCGCTCGATCTATTTCCACGCGCCAAAGGCTGTGAGCTTCGAATAATCCACAGTGCTTGTGGTGACATCCGGAGTGCGAGCCTGGTGAGGCTGTGCCGAAGCCATGCATGAAACGCATGCAGCCTGACACCGGTCTGCCACTTCTGCACACGGCCGCCTCGCCCTTGCGACGCAGCGCGTGCAGAAGCATCCTTGTTCTTGGTCTATATGGGGCAATGTCTGGCCGTGTCCGTCTAATGTTGATCGCAACATGACTGCTTATCTCTCCAGATCGCTTTGCATCTCCTCTGACGATTGACTGTAATGACCATCGCCATGTCACCGAACGTCAACCACGACCGTGAGGCGTACAGCGTTGGCATCATCTGCGCGTTAGCGACCGAGAAAGCTGCAGCTATTGCCATGCTCGACGACAAGCACGAACGCCTGCCGCCTGCTCCCGGCGACGAGAACGACTACACTTTCGGAACAATCGGCATGCACGGGGTGGTCATCGCTTGCCTCCCAGCGGGCATGACTGGGACAGTGTCTGCGGCGGTGGTGGCCCGAGACATGATTCGCAGCTTTCCGATCCGCATCGGCTTGATGGTTGGTATCGCAGGTGGGGTGTGGAGCGAAGAGGTGGATGTGCGACTCGGGGACGTGGTCGTGAGCCAGCCGAATGGCCAGCATGGCGGAGTAGTGCAGTGGGACTTTGGCAAGACCGAGGCCGGCGGAGTCTTTCGGCGGACAGGAACATTGAACAAACCCCCGCGCGAGCTCCTAAGCGCTGTACAAGGCTTGCAGGCGGAACACTTACTGCAGGGCCACAGGCTAGAGAAACATCTTGCCGAGATGCTGTCCAAGTATCCCGCGATGGAAGAAGGGTTTATGCACCCGGGCGACGACAACGACGAGCTTTTTGAAGCCAGCTATGACCACGAACGTGGGAATACGTGTTTGTACTGCACCCGTTCACGCGTGGTGCAGCGTGCAGAACGTCAGAGCCGTCGGCCACTTCTGCACTACGGCAACATTGCTTCAGGTAACGAAGTGATGAGGGACGGACGCACGCGTGATCGCATCGCACAGCAGGAGGGCGTGATCTGCTTCGAGATGGAAGCAGCGGGCTTGATGGATTCGTTTCCGTGTATCGTGATTCGCGGGATCTGCGACTACGCCGACTCGCACAAGAACAAGCGGTGGCAGGCGTACGCAGCTGCGACGGCCGCTGCCTACGCGCGGGAGTTACTACTATGGATGCCCGCCGCCGAGGTCGCGAAGATTCGCCCTGTACTAGAAGCAACAGGTATGGAAACAGATAACCCGTACGACGCTCTTGGTAGTATTTGCTGATGGGCGGACCTAATGTGGCACGTATAGTATATATCCCGTTCCCAAAAAACCATCAGTTCGTCGGCCGACAAAGCACCCTAGACACGCTACAGCGAAAGCTTTTCACGGCTCGGGACTGCCAGGAGCTGGCCGTAGTCGGTCTTGGCGGCATTGGTAAGACGCAGGTCGTACTCAGCTTCGCGTATGCGGTGACGGAGCAACGACGAGATATGTCGGTCTTCTGGGTGCCAGCACTGAGTGCGGAGACTTTCGAGCGAGCCATGGAGGGAATTGCGAAGCAGCTGAAGATTCGGATAGCGACTGATGGCAGCGAAGATGTGAAGGAGGCCGTTAGGGAATATCTCAGTGCACCGCGCGCCGGCAAGTGGTTGCTCATCGTTGACAATGCCGACGACATAAGCGTAGTCAGCGGGCTGCTTCAATACCTGCCGCAAAACGCTAAAGGCTCTACCGTTTTTACGACCCGTACGACCGCTGTCGCGCAGCGATTGGTCGCCGGCAATACGATCGAGCTGAAGAACTTTCAGCAGGATGAGGCTATGACTTTGCTAAAGAAAGCTCTGATCCGCCAGGAGCTGCTGCAGGAGACGCGAGCCGTTCTGGAATTATTTCGAGAACTGGAATATCTTCCCCTCGCTATTGTGCAGGCAGCAGCGTTCATGAACGTCAACACCAACACATCTATTTCGGAGTATCTAGCACTGCTGCAAAGTACCGAAGAGGATAAAGCGTACGTCCTGAGCAAGGAGAACCCAGACGGCACGCGCAGTGAACACGTCAACAGTGCTGTTGCGCGGACCTGGATCGTATCCTTCGAACAGATTCGAGAACGAGACCCCGCCGCGGTCAAACTCTTACAGTTTATGTCGTGTATCGAATGGAGGGATATCCCACACTCGGTTCTTCCTACAACACCACTAAAAGCGCAGATGCATGACGCAATTGGCATGCTATGTTCATACTACTTTGTCACTAAGCGAGCAAATCAAATGACATATGATATGCACCGACTCGTGCACTTAGCTAGCCGATTATGGCTACAGGGGAGCGCGCACGCTGCAGGAATCCAAAAGGAAGCAATCGTACATCTCGCAATGATATTTCCATCGAAGGACTATCGCAATCGTGCAATATGGAGATCATACATGCCGCACGTTACGCGGGTGCGAGAGCGTCAAAGGCAAGAAAATTGCGCGTTAGATATGATAGAGGAGAGCGAGCTGTACGATAAGGTAGGACAATGTCTGCAGGAAGATGGTAGAACACGAGATGCAGTTCTCTGGCTGTCAGATGCTTGTAGCCTAAGAAAATCCCTCGCCGAGGATCATCCAAGTCGACTTGCATCGCAGCATGCGCTTGCATATACATGTCAAGCGAACGGGCAGACCAAGGAGGCCATCCAGCTGCTCGAGCACGTCGTCGCGATCCAGAAGACATCGCTCGCAGAGGATCATCCT